CGTAGGGCTACGAACGTTTCAAGAATAGTTAGCCTGGACCCGGTTGTATCAAACTTTAATAAAGCTTTAATCGTTAATTAAACTATGATTAGTTAATCACTGATTATCTTTAGTTGCATGAAATCCTTAATAAAGGAATCCCTTCATTAATCCATCATTAAGCTAATGAAGGTTTGGGGGTATCATTAACTCATCATTAGCTGTATCAACATGGCAGACAACATAATGTACCATCAACTTCGACGTCGGAGAAAAGAGAAACATTTTCGTGAACGGATTAATTAACCCCCACCGGGTGCCACAGGGACATATATGTCCTTCCTCTGTAACCCTCACTTTGAAGTTCAATAAAATTCTAAATATATTACATATTTATATACAAATATTCTTCACAGTTTTGAATTCTGCGGGAAATTCCCTGTTTCTTGATACCATCCACTATTAAATCAGACAAAACTAAAGTGCTTAAAATAACCTTTCAAAATAGACTTCGTCGTGTCGCCATTTTTGACACAATATGTCCCCTGGATGCCACAGGGACATATATGTCCTTCCCCTTCAACCCTCAATATCAAGTCCAATAAAAATCAAAATATCCCACGCACACAAATACACTTCACAGTTTCGAATTCTGCAGGAAATTTCCTGTTTCTTGATACCATCCACTATTATTTTAGACAAAGCTCAAGTGCTGAAAATGACCTTTCAAAATTGGCTTCATCGAAAATGTTGCCATTTTTTACACAGTACGAAATCGCGATTCACAGCGTTATTTGCTGTATGTTTTGAAATGTCAAAATCGGATAATTACTGGGAGTATTGAATTTCAAAAATAACATATTCATGATCACTGATATCAGTTTTACATGAAATCGCTAATTATAATTCTGAAACGTTGCCGATGAATCTAGAATCGGTTGGGATGTTTTCGAAAATGACTTACACGAACACCGCAGAGCGCTTTCCGCCATATTGGATAGTGTTTACAAAATCACGTTTCGCGAAAGCCGGTATTGAGACGCCTATTACATCACGTATATTTCATATTCAGCTTCGAAAAATGCATCACTGAATTCCCCATACATTTTAGAATCAAATTGCAACTGGTCTGTGTCACCAATAACAACTGTCTAGATAAAATGAGACGAAACCTATTGGGTGTGAAAACGAACGCTGTGCTTGAAAGACTGCGTTTGTTCTGAAATGTAAACAAAGACAAATTCCGATTTTACACTGCGTAGCATTTTCTGAAATTTTTCAACATTCATCCGTCTATTCATTGCTTGCAATGGCTCAATACCTTTGGAATATGCATGGAAAGAGTATCGTAGCAAGAAATAGGAAATTATAAATAGATACAATGCAATGATTTGATAATTCATAAGAAATTGTCAAAGTTTCCGTCCAGCGTGACGCCATGACTGACGCAAAATCACGCAGAACGACAACGGTAATTATCTGCATTTCTGGCCTTTTCTCTTACTTATAGTGAAAACGATAAAAACATATAACAATACACAGATAGTCAGAATCATTCTGATTACTTACATCTTATATTTATGTACAAACGATCCCTGAATCAATGGAAGGGTCCTCGCAAAATCCTGTGTACCCATGTCAGCAAAGCCGCCATTTTGTAAGAAATCGGTCAGCGGTAGTGATGTCATACGTCAACATTGTTGTACATATTAGGCAATTTCTTTGAGGTGAAGGTCGGTTGAACAAGAGTAAACACAATCGCCCAATCCTTCCGATTACACTGTCAGTATTATGGTGTATATTTTGCGTATAGTTCAGATATTTTTTCATGAAACTGACTTCAGTATCTACATTTAGCCTTGTTCAATATCATATCATACGTGCATATAGGGTTTACGGTGTTTTATTCTTTGAAAGTTTTTGATTGTTTGAATCATATTTACATAAGAAATTGACATATTTAGTGCAATACACCATATTCTAAACCTTTACACAAGTGTTAGAAGATCAAACGTAGCCATAACTGCGACTACTTTAGTTCCTATGATGTACAATATTCAATTTATTTGGACTAATATTGCAATTTCATATGAACAGGTTAATGAACGGTGATTTAATTCAACCTTATATGTAAAACTGATAATATTAATGACAATGATTTATATATGGTATGAAATGTATATGCACACATATTTAAAGGAATTGTCTTGTTCACTGCATAATTTTGTGTCGTTTTATAGACAAAAGAATGATGCATATTGATCGGCAAGGTGCGCGTTTGTTGGAAACGTTTTATGATTCTCTATCATTGTTTTCGATAATATATTCAATTCATATTCGATTAAATAATATTCTGATGACAGGATATCAAACTCTAACTACATTTATAGGAAAATTGTTGAAAAATATATATACCATCTCATGTGTTAATTCGGACAAATCTTACATCCATATTCTAATATATAGTTCCATATATAAAAAGCTATCTTTTTGCATCTTTCATTGCATACGTATGAAGAGAAATAGCTACATAATCATAAACAAACAAAATTCTTATCCAAAACAAAATATTCGGGTGTTGTGAAATATTATTTTTGTTTACGTTAAATTGATGCCAAACAGGTGCGCGTGTTGTTCACAATAAGATACGCTGTCAACCCGTCTAATTGTTGATATATTCAGGACACTATTTAAATGGAAAAATCGGTCATTTTATGTTTTGTCTAAAGAGTGTTAAATTCTGACGTAGAAGCCGAGATCTTTTATACAATTAATGAAAATTAGGTGAGATATATACTAATCAGCATACCAATGTCGTCTTTTTCCGACGTCGCAAAATGCATAAAACAAGCAATGACGTCAACTAAAATGTTGTATTATTTTCAGCAATTTCGTTACATTTGAAGATATGGCTAGTACTCTGGTAATAACGATGCAAAATTAGTCAAATTACATCTACACAAACAGGAGAATATGGGAATCTAAGAACTAACTTATCTATCGGATAGGGCCATTCAAATCGCTATTACGTGCTTTCACATGTAATACGTTGTCATCTTTTCTTATAAATTGTGAAACTACCAAAGCGCATCCGTTCACATTGGGAAACTTTGAATTGGAATAGTTTGGTTCACCATGAACATAAAATAACGAAAATATAGCGTCTGTATCCACAACAAATTCTTTCCAAGTGATCTGAGTTACATTGACCTAGTGTTACGCATAACGGAGTTATGCCCCCTTATCATTATACGTGTATGACCTCTCTGTCGTCGTTTGACGTCATAGAAGAAAATCCATTTTTTACATTTATTGCGAGTCATTTTTAATGTTGAGCGTATAACGTTATGCACAAGCACATAAACCCAATTCATATACATTTATGTCGTTCAGATATCAGGCTGCATTTTCTTCGCTCACACTTTCCGTAAAGATGCCACATTAAAAAAATCGCAGCACAGTGCTTTTATCGGTGCGCGATAAAAAGCGGATAAATTTACTGTTTTTTAACGCATAACAAAAAATTGGACAACATTTAGCAGTGTCTATTTCTCAAACCGCCAAGGTAGTTGCACTTATATTTATACCAAAGGATAGGAAATTTAATATTCTACAATTCTGTGTAATTTTATAGCCGTACGTATATCCAGGACCACGCGAGCGCAATTCTTGCAAAACGTTTTCTTTTCAAACCGTATGAAAATGTGCGCCTGAAAAAAAACTCGGCAGCCAGGGGATCACTGAATTCCCTATATATTTTGGAATCAAATTACAAATGGTCTTTGTCACCAATACCAACTGTCTAGATGAAATGAAACGAAAGATATTGGGGTGAAAAGAAACATTGTACTCGAAAGATTGCACTTGTAAACAAAGAAAAAATCCGATTTTACACTGCGTAGCATTTTCTGGAATTGTCCGACACCCAGCCGTCCATCCTTTGCTTGCAATGGCTCAATATTTTTAGAATATGCATGGAAAGAGTATCGTGCCAAGAAACAGGAAATTAAAAACAGATACAATGCAATGATTTGATAATTCATAAGAATTTATCAAGGTTTCCGTGCAGCGTGACGCCATGACTGATGCAAAATAACGCAGAATGACAACGGTAATTATCAGCATTTCTGGCTTCTTCTCTTATTTATCCAATGAAAACTATAAAAACATATAACAATACACAGAGAGTCAGAATAATTCTGATTACTTACATCACATATTTATGTACAAATGATCCCTGAATCAAGGGAAGAGTCCTCGCCAAATCCTGTGTACCCTTGTGGCCATTTTGTAATAAATCGGTCAGCGATAGTGATGTCATACGTCAACCTTGTTGCACATATTAGGCAATTTCTTTGAGGTGAAGGTCGGCTGAACAAGAGTAAACACAATCGCCCTATCCTTCCGATTACACTGTCAGTATTATGATGTGTATTTTGCGTATAGTTCAGATACTCTTTCATGAAACTGATTTCAGTATCTACATTTAGTTTTGTTCAATATCATATCATACGTGGATATAGGGTATACATTCTATGTTTTTTGAAAGTTTTTGATTGTTTGAATAATATTTACATAAGAAATTGACACATTTATTGTAGTAGACCATATTTATTCTGAAAACACTTTTTTATTTGCATTTTGAAACATGTTGTTCCATTTTGTATTGATTTCTTTGGACGTTCTATTGCTTACCCCAAAGCTATTGAGCTCAGACATTATTTTGTCCCATATCTGCTTCTTTTTTGTCATTAGTAATGGAGTTAGTCAGTTTGCTGTTTAACACACTGATATGATCTTCAACTAGGCCTGTATTTCACAACTTTCAAAGTTTTTACTGCGATTTCTGACGGCAGCCATTATGCAGACTATAGATGAGTGTTTACCTGCAATGCATCATGGATAATAATTAGGGGATTCCCCTAAGTTAATCATGGTTTAATGACGGGACCTTTATTAGAGGCATACTTAGTTAATGGGTGTTTAAATAAGGGTTTATACAACCGTATTTAAACACTTTATTAACTAATCAAACATTAAGAATTTAATCAATGATTAGTGTTTAATTGATGATTACATAATTACGCGTTGATACAACTGGGTCCTGGTCATTAGACCTAATTATGATAGTCACCAGTTAGACCCCAAGTATTGTAACGAAACTTATTACCCATATGGTGAAACCTAACCAGTGTCATATATATCATATGTGCACATGTACACATATCAACCATTGTTTCTGTATTTCGTCGTCTGTGACGTCATTAAACAACTGAACGTGACGTCAATTAACTGGGTCGTCACACTTGCTTACCTGTTTTACTGCCCAATTGTACATGAATAAAATCGATAATAAAGAAGTTATTACACACGTGCAAGTGTGCCATACGACTTAAACGAAATTCGTGCAAAATTTCACACTCGTTTCGTATAAGTTGTATGCCACACTTGTTCGTGTAATAATCACTATACATAATCTCGAATATGCCAGGAAACTACAGGCCCCGATTTCTCGAAACAAACTTAAGTCTGAGTTTTGACTTAAGTTAGAGTTTTTACTCAAATTTGAGAAAACGCATTTCCCAGAATGAACTGAAATCGATATTAAATTCAAACATAGTAGATAATTTGAGTTTGGTTAATAGAATACTGAAGTTGTTTGGGCTTTTTTTATTTTAAAAATGCAGCTGAGTTAAAATTCAGCTGTTTCAAATATATAGTCAAACTCAGTTTCAAATTTGAGTAAAAACTTAAGTTTGTTTCGAGAAATCGGGGCCAGAAGTGCTTTTGCAAAATTTAGATGTGGAATAGAACCAGTCAGAGTTTAAAACTGGACGATATGAAAATCTCGCAGTTGAGAATACACTGTGTCCGATGTACCAAAATAATTGTGTTGAAGATGAGGTACATATAAGTGCCCCATATATGATGACCCGAAGAGGACCATTTAATTAAAGACCCTAAAGTATGCAATAAGTTTGATATGTTGCCAAATACAGGGAGGTTTTCAGTGCTTATTAATCAAAACGAACTGACCTGATTGTGTGTCATAACCTCTTTTAGTATTCTACAACGACGCAAGTGGCTTTTATATAAATGATATGCCTCTTAACTTCCTACTTCTTAGGGGCGGTGGGGTAGCGTACCGGTTAAAGCGTTGGCTCGTCACCCCGAAGACCCGGGTTCGAATCCCCACATGGGTACAATGACTGAAGCCCATTTCTGGTGTCCCCCGCCGTGATATATTGCTAAAAGCGGCGTAAAACCAAAACTCAGTCAGTCAGTCAGTCAGTCTTACTTCTTAACAGTATTATATTGGTATTTTATCAGAATATATATGTATGTGTAAGTCTCTCATAACTGACCACCTGCGTGGTGCAGTTGACAGAGTGCCTGTCCAGAGAGTGGAATGGCGGTGGTTCGAACCTGACTGTTATACAAACCATCGATATCATTATTGGATATTTATATAGCGCACATATCCACGCATTAGTGCATGCTCTAGGCGCTGGTATATAAGATATCACTTGTTGTTGCTCAGTATACAGTTTTTGTATACATCCAAACATCAGTAGCCCTCCACCCCCTTCCTCCTGGCGGACCGCCTCCGTGGTGTAGTGGTTAGAGCGTCCGCCCGGTGAGCGGAAGGTCGCGGGTTCGATCCCCGACCGCGTCATACCAAAAGACGTTAAAATATGGTACTTGTTGGTCCCTGCCTGGCGCTCGGCATTAATGGGCACAACAAGGACTGGTCGGCTCGGAGTCAGTATAATGTGTCTGTGTGGGGTATTCATGCTTCACTTCGGCATGGTATCTCAGTGGGCTAGCACTATAAAACCAGCTTCAGTCTGGGCTGGTACAAGCAGCCGCACATACACATACACACGCATGCACGTCGTCATATGAGCGAAATATTCTCAAGCACGACGTTAAACCCAATTTCTCCTCACCTCACCTTCCTCCTGGCACTACACGCGCGTACGTTCTCCATGTGCACACCCTACATGGTCTGAGTGAGTGAGTGAGTGAGTTTAGTTTTACGCCGCACTCAGCAATATTCCAGCTATATGGCGGCGGTCTGTAAATAATCGAGTCTGGACCAAACAGCATGAGCATCGATCTGCGCAATTGGGAACCGATGACATGTGTCAACCAAGTCAGCAAGCCTGACCACCCGATCCCGTTAGTCGGCTCTTACGACAATCATGGGTTACTGAAGATCAATTCTAACACGGACCTTCACGGGTCACACCCTACATGGGCATTCCACAAATGGTTCGCCAAACACACACGCGCGTACCTACGCACATGTGCACACCCTACATAGATATTCAATTTATGATTCTTATAACACACGCGTCCACGCACACATATACACACGTTGGCATTCCAAGTTTGCATTGGTCACGAGTAAACTCGCTTGTTATGAAATACGATCTGCCTGGCTTTTAGTGTCAAAATCTAAATCCAGTCGTCTAGAAGCCGGACTATCAGTATGTGTAAAACGTAACTGGATTATTGACAATGGCATTTAACAGCATTCTCTCACCAATCCCGACACAACAGTCTCGAAAATAAAACGAGCAAATTCTGCCATAATATCAAAGTGTCTTACCTGCTTCACTGTCTTCAAATTATTGCCATGTACACATTTCCCATAAAGTCACTTCCCCAGACAGTAGGTCTATAAACACCAACAGATTCACAGACCGGGTGTTTCAGATCTGACCTTCAACGTAAGGTACACTGTCTACCGGAGCGCCCATCTAAAAACATAAGGAACATATTGTCCAGAGTCAGTCCAACCCGCTAAACCAGTTTCTTTTTTCAAAACATAATATCGCTTTCATATAACTTCTCACACTCGGTAATAATTTGGAATCCTGTCCTTTCAAACACTGACTAAAGGCGCAATCTTTTCAACGAGTGTGAGGCGACAGCGCAATAAAGTAAATCGGCATACAAAAGAGGACTATGGCAGCGGCAAATGCGTCACGGTGTCATACAAACAGAACCACTTTGTTTACCATTGACCCGTAACTGACTGGGTTCCTCCTGCCACAATACTGATCCAAAAATAATCGAAAGTCCATAGAACTGAAGATTTATGACACATATTGGACACAGCCTCACTTGAATATTCCGCCCGGGAATTTTAATACTTTGAAGCTGTCAGAGCTGGGAGTGCGTGTGAAACGGTATTTTTACCTTCACCATGTCATTAACCTATAGCTATTCATGAACAAAGCAAACAGTGTCGGAGAAAACATAATATCTATTTGATTAAACATCAACTGAGACATATGAAAGGCTTTTGAGATATTAATATTTAGGCCGATGTACTTTTATATGGTCTCGGTGAGCTCACATTTTCATTGGAGTTTAAAGTCTGTTCGAACCAATACTATCTTAGGTTAAAGGGTGTAATTCCTACACAGGGCCAAAGAAAAGATACACTTGTAAAGGTGATTTTCATTATTACAAAGGGTAAAAGAATAAATACACCTGTAAAGTTGATGATTACTATTACACAGGACAAAAGAAAGTATACACTTGTAAAGTTGATTTCCATCATTACACAGGGCAAAACAGTATATACTTGAAATGTTGATTTGACAAAAACTTCTACACTTTACCAACACGTTGATAGTTTACCAGCAGTCGACGTGGCACTTCAAACTTAATACAGACTAAACATAAGGGTATACTTTCTCTCCTACTCGGCATTTCAGATTACAAATCAGTTCCGTTGTGTGACGTTACTTGTTACAAGGATTGCTATTCGAAACGCAGCGAAAACAAATCAGTTCCGTTGTGTGACGTTACTTGTTACAAGGATTGCTATTCGAAACGCAGCGAAAACATGTTTCATACTAACTGAAGTAAGAAAATTAGATAGTTAATTATATATTGAGGTATACGTAAGTTAATTGCAGGTTGGTTGGGGGCGGTGGGGTAGGCTAGTGGTTAAATCGTTCACTCGTCACGCCGAAGACCTGGGTTTTATTCCCCTCACGGGTACAATGGGTGAAGCCCATTTTCCGGTGTCCCCAGCTGTATATGTAAAACCATACTCACTCACTAACTGCAGGTTGGGGTTCAACACGGTGTCTGATAAACCTACCGCGGATATAATTATGAGGTTTCGGGGACAAGTTGTTTCACTTACTCTTTTGCCTCTTAACTTTTACACTTCTTTGTTTTTTGTACTTATGTATATGTGTTGTTGATTTTAAATTAAAGGTTTTATTAAACAAAACAGTCTGTCAGAGGGAAGGGAAAAGTTAAGTTCAGAGTCAAGCAAACTGTAATGTCGAAACAGGTGGCCACCAGGACTTGATGTTGTTTCAGTAGAGCTGTACGTGACATTAGCTGTACCGTAAAGTCCCTGTGTGTAACAATTCTGTACGTAACATATATGTACATGACATATACGTAACAAAGTTATACGTAACATAACGGTACGTACCATAGCTATACGTAACATAGCTATACCTAACATAACGGTACGTACCATAGCTATACGTGACATAGCTATACATAACATAACGGTACGTACCATAGCTATACGTGACATAGCTATACGTAACATAACGGTACGTGCCATAGCTATACGTCACATAACGGTACGTACCATAGCTATACGTGACATAGCTATACGTAACATAACGTTACGTACCATAGCTATACGTAACATAACGGTACGTACCATAGCTATACGTGACAAAGCTATACGTAACATAACGGTACGTACCATAGCTATACGTGACCTAGCTATACGTAACAAAGCTGTACGTGACAAAGGCCTCCGTAACATAGATGTACATGACATAGCTATACGTAACAAAGTTATACGCAACATAACGGTACGTACCATAGCTATACGTGACATAGCTATACGTAACATAACGGTACGTACCATAGCTATACGTGACATAGCTATACGTAACATAACGGTACGTACCATAGCTATACGTGATATAGCTATACCTAACATAACGGTACGTACCATAGCTATACGTGACATAGCTATACCTAACATAAAGGTACGTACCATAGCTATACGTGACATAGCTATACCTAACATAACGGTACGTACCATAGCTATACGTGACAA